TGAGACTGTGACAGTGTGTGACTGTGTGACTGTGACAGTGTGTGAATGTGTGAGATTAACAGTGTGTGTGTGACTGCGTGTGTGACTGTGTGAGACTGACAGTGTGAGTGTGACTGTGTGAGAAAGTGTGAGTGTGATTGTGTGGACTGTGACTGTGTGTGACTGTGTGACTGTGACAGTGTGAGTGTGACTGTGAGACTGTGACAGTGTGTGACTGTGTGAGACTGAGAGTGTGTGACTGTGTGGACTGTGAGTGATGGTGTGTGACTGTGACTGTGTGACTGTGACAGTGTGTGACTGTGTGAGACTGTGACAGTGTGTGTGTGAGGCTGAGTGACTGTGTGTGAGACTATGATTGACAGTGTGTGTGACTGTGTGAGACTGTGACTGTGTGTGAGACTGTGTGACTGTGAGACTGACAGTGTGAGTGTGACTGTGTGAGACTGAGTGTGTGACTGTGTGGACTGTGTGTGTGACTGTGACTGTGTGTGACTGAGAGTGTGACTGTGTCAGACTGTGACAGTGTGTGACTGTGTGAGACTGAATGACAGTGTGTGTGACTGTGTGTGTGACTGTGTGAGACTGACAGTGTGTGACTGTGTGAGACTGAGAGCGTGTGACTGTGAGACTGAGACTGTGTGACTGTGTGTGACTGTGACAGTGACTGTGAGATTGTGACAGTGTGTGTGTGAGGCTGTGTGTGACTGTGTGTGACTATGAGTGACAGTGTGTATGACTGTGTGTGACTGTGTGACTGACAGTGTGACTGTGTGTGATTGTAAGACTGTGTGTGAGACTGTGTGACTGTGACTGTGTGACTGTGTGACTGAGTGTGTCACTGTCACTGTGTGTCACTGATAGTGACAGTGTCTGTGTGTATGACTGTGACAGTGTGTAACTGTGTGTATGAGAATGTGACTGTTAGTATAGTGTGAATGAGTGTGTGTGCATGCATGTGTATGTGTGTGAGTGAATGTGTGTGAGGCTGTGAGTGTAAATGTAAGACCGAATCTGTCAACGTGTGATGCTGTGTGTTAGTGTGTGTGTGCATAAATGACTGAGTGTATGAAGGTGTGAGAGTGAGTGTGTGAATGTGTTAGTATAGTGTGTATGTGTGAGCATGCAAGTGTGAGTGCATGTGTATGAGTGTGTGAAAGTGAGCATGTGTGTGTGCACGAGTGTGTGTGTGAGTGTATGAGTCTGTGTGTGTGGTGGGACCCACCTGAACAGAAATAGTCACAGCCAGATGATGCCAATGGGGTCACAGTTTGCTTCCTGGGGAAGGCCCAGGTGGGCTGGGCTGCATTTCTGAGGACAAGCGTGGAGGGGTGGGATCTTGAGAGCAGGGGCTTGCATAGGGGCTTGCATGTGTAGACGGCACACCAGGGCACACTGAATCCCAGAAACTCAGTCCGGCGTCAGCTGGATTTTACCCTGTGCACACCACAGCTCTCAAGCTGTCATCTATA